GGGATTAAAAAAAATTACTACCAGTTCTGTAGGTGTGTCTTGGTGGGCAGGGTGTGGCTTGGTGGGCATGGCAGGATAGGATACTGTAAAATCTCCATTCCTTCCCCATTCCTGGGGGAAGGTTACTGCAAAATCCCATTCCCTCCTCACCCACTAACCTGCTTTCCAGCTCCTTTGCAACCACTGGAGCAAAGTGAAGAAGAGAAGTATGATAGAAGGCTACAAAATGGTATGAGATATGGAGATATGGAGAGGGCTCAGCAGTTAAAGATGCTGAGCTTGTCCACTGGAAAGCTAACAACTCAGGTTCAAGACCTGAGCACTGAATGAGGGGGTGAGCTCCAGTTACTTGCTCCAGCTTCTCCCAAGCTGACAGTTTCATTATGAATATATATATTTTCCCTCTAAATCTGCCAAAGCATGATGGTCATTCCAGAGTCAGCAGTGTGTGGCAACAGCCAAAAAACCAACACAATCCTAAATTGCATTCACAGAGGGATACAAACAAGATCAAGAAAGGTACTGATACCCCTCCATAAACCCTTAGTAAGACCACACCTAGAGTACTGCATCCATCCACACCTAGAGTACTGCATCCACACTTTAAAAAGGATGTTGAGACTCTAGAAAAAGTGCAGAGAAGAGCAACCAGGATGATGAGGGTACTGGAGGCTAAAACATACGATGAACGGTGGTTGCAGGAACTGGGCATGGCTAGTCTAGTGAAGAGAAGGACCAGGGAGATATGATAGCAGTCTTCCAATATTTGAGGGGCTGCCAAAGAGAGGAGGGGGTCAAGCTATTTTCCAAGGCACCACTGAGCCAGACAAGGAATAATGAATGGAAACCGATCAAGGAGAAATTCAACCTGGAAATAAGGATACATTTTCTGATAGTGAGAACCATCAACCCATGGAACAGAAGTTGCCTTCAGAAGTTGTGGGAGTTTCATCATTGGAAGCTTTCAAGAAGACACTGGAACGCCAAAAATGGTGCAGGGTCTGCTTGGGCAGGGGGTTGGACTAGGTCCCTTCCAACTCTGTTAATCTGTAAGGTAAAGGTAAAGGGGTAACGGTAAAGGTTCCCCTTGCACAGACGTGCTAGTTGTTTCTGGCTCTGGGGGCAGTGCAAATCTCCGTTACAAAGCCAAAGAGCCAGCTCTGTCCGAAGATGCATCCATGGTCATGTGGCCAGCATGACTAAATGCCTTCGAAGGCGCACAGAACCCTGTTCCCTTCCCACCAAAGGGGTCCCTATTTTTCTATTTGCATTTTTTACATGCTTTCGAACTGCTAGGTTGGCAGAAGCTGGGAAAAGTAATGGGAGCTCATTCCATTACGCAGCGCTGGGGATTCGAACCACTGAACTGCTGACCTCTCTGATCGACAAGCTTAGCATCATAGCCACTGAGCCATCGTGTCCCTCTTGATCGGTATCTGCATCTAAAACCAACAAGCAATGAGAAATGGTTCTGAATATGGCAGTATTACTTTAAAGCAGGGATTCCCAACTCCTGGTCTGAAGCCCAGGGCCTGTTTGGTGTGTGAGGGTTTTTGTGAAAGTGGCACACGTACATGAAACCATTCCCCACCCTGCCATCGCCACCTCTGCCAATCCACCAGCTGGAGAAATTGGGGACTACTGCTTTAAAGGTAATGCCAACACCCTGAACTGCACTTCCGTGGAATCAAACATGGTATCAGCATTCCAGAAAACCTCCACTCCAACAAATAATCCCAACACAGACATCCCCTCCAAAGTTCCTTTTATTAGAGTAGTAAACTGGCATATCTGGGAAATCCTGAATCCGAAAGTTCCGGGTTTTCTTGCAATAAGTAAAAAATTACAAATCCACCCCCTGTACAACTCATGGCATTACATGCCCCAATCACCGTCTGTCCCAAGTCCTCTCAACCAGGTGAAAAATAACATGACCTTGACAGTTGGAAACTGGCAAAAAACATAGAAAACCTCACTCACATGACTATGTGGGATGTTGTAACTGGTCATAAGTGTGTGTTTGTGTGTGTGTGTGTGTGTGAATGGCTGTCAAAACTCCAAAAACAGATCAAGGTCAGTTGTAAATTAGAACACTTGTTAAGCAACCAGCCATTAAGCAAGGACCACTTGTATTTGGTTTGCCAGTCACATGGCCACCTAGCCACGTCCACCCCAGTCACATGACTACCTAGCCATGACTTCCACACTGCCACATTCCTGTACCTGGGAAATTGGGAGGGGGGATTTTGTAGAGTGGTTTTAGTTAGACATAATAACTTTGTTCTTTACAGTCAAAATCATGTTATTCCTGCACCTGGAGGAGGAGTGGTTTAAGGGATGTCTCAAGTTGGAACAGAGGGTGATTTGGGGCATGTGATGGAGTGATGGGTGCAGGGGATGGATTTTGTGATTTTTAATTATTGGAAGAAAACCCGGAACTCTTAGATTCAGTTTTTCCCAGATGTGACAGTATGAAACCTCTAATAAAATGAAACTTTGAGAAAATGCCTGTCTGGGAGTTTTGGTGTTGGAGTTTGTTTTCCTGGAATGCTGACACACAACCCATGCTTCAGTTCAAATTCCATCATAGGGGCTGGTGCTCAGTTTCATGTGGGTCAAATACCCAACTTCACCTTGGTTTTCACACCCATCTGCTCTGTGGTTTACCAACAAGAGAAAAAAACACCATGTTTTTTCCATTTCTTGTATGGAACACAAGGTGGGCTGGGACAATTGCTTTTCCTTCCAATTATCAGAAGAACAGTAGTTATTAATATATCCTCTGTGGGTTTCAAGCCATAAAATCTTACAAGATAAAACCTGGTTTAAAAAAATATCCATGAATTTTCCAGGTGGGGGCAGAACATGTCACCTCACCTTTTCTTGAAAACAGATCCAACTCCTGGTTGATGAGACACAGCTGGTCTTTATTTTCTCTTTGGTGACAGCCCAAGCAAAGGTAAGAGGAAGCATATTTGATATATTTGCCCTGACGCCATCCAGGAGACACGAATGGGATCTATTATGCTAAAATACTTGTGAGCTCCCAAGTGCTGCCTGCAATTCAGCTTCTGCCCATACCTTGATTTCTCATCTAGGACAGAAGATGACAAGAATGACTGGGCTGCCTCTATTGCTGTTGCTTTTCTGTCTCCTGTCTCCACCTTCTGCTAAGAGGACGCCAATCTTATGTGTGTTAGCAAATACTGTCGAGATTCCAGAAGACTATTCTAAGCCCGGAGATTTCAGTATTGGTGGGAATTTGCTCCTGATAAATATTATGTCCTCCTATGTCCCAGACTTTAAAACAGAGTCATCCCAGATTACAAACCGATTTTTGTAAGTTTCACCTAGAGGGAAAAATGTATATGATTATTTAATTTGTTTGCTCAAAAATGATGTTTGTGATGTCCTAGTGAGTTAAAATAGAATAGAATTCTTTATTAGCCAAATGTGATTGGACACATAAGGAATTTTTTTGTGTGCAAATGCTCTGAGTATTCATAAAAAGAAAGAAAAATAAATACATTTGTCAAGAATCATAGATATAATACTTAATAATAGTAAAAGGGTACAAATAAACAAATCATACTAGGAAACATAATAATAAGCAATCACATCAAATCAAATTATACTAGTAAACAGTCAATTAAAAAATCATAAGGATACAAGCAACAAAGTTACTGTTAAGCCTGGATTCCCCAACTGGTGTTAAGGAAAACAAACTAAACAGAATGTGCAGCGAAGTCAGATAGGAAGACAGGTAAATGTGTGAGATAAGTTTTCTAGTTAACACGCAGTAAAAATACAGATACGCTTGTGCTATCAAAATTATAATTTATTCCATTTAAGAATTATAGCATAGTCATTATAAACAGTCCATTAGTCATATACCAAATTCAGTCAAGTCTTGTCGAGGATACTCTAATTGCAAAGTCCGTGTCGAATAGCCAGTGTCAGTACACATATAATAAATCTGTCCAAAACTTATCTTCTCTCCGTTGAGAAATATCTTCAAAGTAATCCAACACTTCTTCTCCTCCCCGATCCAGCAAGAATGCAGTCTTCAATAAGCCAGCCAGTAAGAGCCAGAGAGTGCCTTGCTGCTTATATAGTACTTTTACAGCTGCACCCTTAATTACATTCCTTTAGCTTAAAGTCACATACACTTTATCTGACAAACCATGATTCATCATTTTATTATCTTTACCCAAAACAGTTAGGGTAAAACAATGTTATCCCTAACAGTTACATTCATGCACTCATAAGTGGGAGGAGATGGGTGAAAGGAAGGATGAGAAGATGAATAGTAATAGTAATGCAGACTTAGTAAATAGTTTGACACTGTTAAGGGAATTATTTGTTTAACAGAGTGATGGCATTTGGGATCATATTCCCTTTCTCAATAAAGATCCAAGCTTGTAAAATTCCTCCAGAACTCTTCATCTGGGAGATGCTGAAAGAAATAGAGAACAAGGAGGGGAAAGACATAAGAAATTATGGTGGGCTAGTGAAGATTAACTTGATATTATATTGGAAATAAATTCATGGTGGAAAGATCAAATCAAAGCACAATTTATTTCTAATGTAGGATACTGTGAAAAAAAAAACCTAAATAAAACTGAGGTCTGGAATCACCAGTGTCTTCAGAAAATCTACCCTCTTGTCCTCTGGAATGTGAACCAGACTCAATGAAGTGAAAGGAGAGAACAACTTATTTAGGGTGGTAAGAAGGGCAACTGGAAAGGATTACAGCCACTGGAGCAAAATGAAGAAATGATCTGGAATATGGACAGTCAAGCTTTTCTCCCTTCTCACAAAGCCATCCCAATTTAATCAAAGAACATCCTCCCAAACAAACAAACAAACACATAAATAAGTAAAGCCAACCCAATAAAACATAGGACTTGTTTCACCAAAGAATACAAAATACAGCAAGGCAAACATCACCAGCACAAACAACCTTTCCTGTAATCTCCCCATTTTTTTTGTCAATATAGAATCATGTGCAAGAATTACCAACAATTCCTGAGTTTGGTGTTTGCAGTCACAGAGGTCAACAAGGATCTAGTTCTCCTGCCCAACATCACCCTGGGCTTCCATATTTATGACAATCACCAGATTGAGAGGACCATTTCCATAACCAGCCTCTCCCTGCTCTCCACACAAGGCCAAATGGTTCCAGGTTACAAATGTGACAAGGAGGACCCCCTGCTCTCTGTCATTGGAGGCCACAACCCCAAAACCTCAAGACAGATGTCCTCCATCTTCAGCACATTCAAGATCCCACAGGTAAGGGGGCTCCACTAGATACATTATGAAATAAACAGCACATACAGCAAAATGTGTCAAGGACAGTACATGTGGCATATGTGACTTAGAGAATCAGTTTATTACATTTTTATAGTTTACTAGTCAAGATGGTTTTATATGACTCCAAACGGATCAATAAGGAGATAATTCTAAAATGTTGCCAAGAGGAATTCCTCCCTAAAGAATTCATCATAAACATGTACTTACCATTTCAATGCAGTTTATTATCTGCATCAGGTTGATGCTTTCATCCCTTATCTACTGATGTGTCACGACCAGGCAAAATGTGTAACTGGTGGATTTTCCTAAAAAGGGAGGAATATTAAGATTCCACTCCAATTGAGCCAATCTGAGTGGTGGGACAACAAACTAGAAAATGGGGCACCCCAAAATCACCATAGAATTTATTTTGTTGTTGAAAGAAGAATCTCATTTTATGCAGCTCGGTGTTGGCTTTGAGTTCTCTCAGGGAGAGATAAGAGTTTATCCTTCCTTCTTCCGGATTAATCCCAAGGAATCTCCTCAATATGTGGGTTTAGTCCAGCTGCTCCTGTATTTCCGATGGAACTGGGTTGGACTGGTGGCCCCTGAAGATGACAGGGGAGAACATTTCATCTCAACGTTGACGCCAATGCTCCAGGAAAAGGAGATCTGCCTGGCCTTCACTGAAATGTTCGATTTTAATATTAATGCTATTCGAATAGTGAAATTCCATTCTATTTTGAAAAGTTGGCTTAATGTTGAAGTGATTATTTTGTTTGGAGATGCCAGCAGTAGTATAAAAATAATAGCGGTAAAGAGTGCTCTTGAAAAATTGAGAAAGACACTGTTTCAAACAGTTTGGATTCTGTCTTCCCATTGGGAACTTAATGGTGTGGACCCTCAAGTGATTTTGGACAGGATAAAGCCCTTCCATGGGGCTCTGCATTTTAGGGATCAAACGGGTGATGTGTCCGAATTCAGCCATTTCCTTCATTCTTTAGACCCTACAAATCCACAAGGGGATCCGTTTCTTCTGATATGGTGGGAACGGGTCTTTGACTGCAAGATCCACAAACCAGGTGAGATTCCTCCAAAGGTGGGGAAACAATGTACAGGAAAGGAGAATTTGCAGAATTTGCCAACTTACATGTTTGAAATGAGCATGACAGGTGAAAGTTATAATATCTACAATGCCATTTATGCTGTGGCATATGCATTACATGCCATGCATAGCTCAAGAATGCAAACAGCCATGTTGAGGCTTGAAAAGAGAATCTCAGATCTCCAGTTATGGCAGGTAAGCTCTGAGGCTATTTGTCCATTTTAAAGACCTTTACAGATGCTTGGAAGATTCCAATCTATCATTCATGGCTATCAGGGAATGATAGAAGCCATGAAGTTTCCTTTGTGGATTTCAGCCAATGACTCCAATTTCTGATCTCCCCTTTTCTTCCAGCTATTTCCCTATTTGAAGAATGTGAAATTCAATAACAGTGCTGGAGATGAAGTTTCCTTTTTAGAAAATGGACGGGGATCTGCTGGTTATGATATCCTCAACTGGATTTTCCTCCCCAATTGCTCTTTCATTCCTATTAAAGTTGGAGAAATTGACCCTGGAGGCCTGGATTTCACCATTAACTCAGATACCATTGTCTGGGCCACTAAGGTGAGTTGGAAAGGAATGTTGAACATTCAAGGAAATATATATTCTCTCCTGGGGTAGTAGAACATTGCTCTAATTTGAAAAAAAAGACTGTTGATTCAGAAAACATGGCAACCATTTGGCAAAAAAAAAAATGTGTGTAAGTCATTTGGATTCTGATTTGTGCCATGGTTGTGATGGGAAATAATTTCTGCTTGAAGCTCAGGATACAATTAAAGCAGGCAACAATCATTTCCATAGATCATTCCCTTTTAGTTGGATACTCATGCTTCCTTGTTTTAGAAAAGGTGTAACTAAATATGTCACAAACCTTTCTTGGCATACGGAAGTGCCAATTCCAATCTCCAGCATTTCATTGGTGGGTTGGGAATTCTACCGGTCTCAATCCTTCTGGTGCTGCTCTTGATTCCTCGTGGATCCTTGTAAACCATTTCTGATGAAGACATTGTGAAGATAGAAATAAGAATGTGGAAATGAATAAATGGTGGGTATTCATTGCTTAAGGCCATCTCAAGCTTTTTTCTCTTAGAAAGTGCCCTTTGCCAGGTGTGGCAGGAAGAGGTGCCATGCAGGAGAGAGGAGAAGTGTTCCAGAGGGTGAGCAGGTTTGCTGCTACAAATGTGATGCTTGTCCAGGAGGGACAATTTCTAATCAGACAGGTAAAGCATATTTCAAATGTATTTCTCCTACAGCCAAGAAAGCCATTCAGGAGATCAAAATATTACAGGTTTTGTTCTTTTTTGGTAGGATAACCAGCTTCAAAGTATTCATGATTTTCAGCAATGCATTTAGGTTGCTAGGACTAAACTATCCTGCACCCATAAGCCACCTTTCTCACTCCTTAACAATTTAATGTAGAGTAGTTTCAGGGTACAGTGTTCAGATTCTCTACTAGCAATTGTTAAAGAAATATCCTTCTGGGTTCAGTTCCAAGTGGGGAAAAAGACACTGGAAACATGGAGGCTGATTGGAAAGATGGTTTAATGGTGGACAGCAGGACCACATGGCTTGGATCTGCTAAGTGAAAAAGAAAGGATGATCACATACTTCAAGGTGAGAAGGTCAAGAAGGGAAGACCAAGATGCTGAGAGACCCTTATATAACCACTGTTGGGCCCCACCTTAGTGTTTCCTGTTCCTGTGTAAGAAATGTGTAAGAAATGGCTGTCAGACTCCCAGGGGCGGGGTCTTAGCTAACTTTGTAGGCTTTGTCTGGACCACATGGCTTCACCTGAGTGTTGGCTGATACAATCTTCCCAGGCCAGGTGGCGAGATGGGTAGACCCTTTATTATGTAGAATACTCTGGCCTAGGCCTTAATGGCCCATTAGCAAAGGTGGGGTGGCTGAGTTTCTGCTTCTCTGAGTTTCTACTTTACTCTTTTTAGGGGAAATATTCTGCCTTTTTAATATTTCCCAGAATATTTCATTTTTCTAGGAGAGGGATGGGTGCTAACTTCCTATATCTTTCTAGTACTTTAAGATCCTTTGGGGGAAATCAGCTACCAATTTTTTACTGATGCAAAATATTTGTGGTTTAATTTTTATTAGTTATGGTGTGTCCCAGTGGTGGGATTCAAAAATTTTTACGACCAGTTCTGTGGGCGTGGCTTGGTGGACGTGGCAGGGGAAGAATATTGTAAAATCTCCAGTCAGAGGTGGTATTTGCTGGTTCTCTAAACTACTCAAAATTTCCGCTACCGGTTCTCCAGAACTGATCAGAACCTGCTGAATACCACCTCTGGTGTGTCCCATAAGTACACAGTTAGTCATTCTATTAGCAATTTTTGCCACAACAGAATGCAGACAATTATGTCACCATTGAATAATTCATAATGCTTATGGTAGATGCCCCTGAAATCATGGGTGGGCTTCAAATTTTTTTAACAAGGGACTCTCTGCCCTAATGACTGCCTGGGTGGGCATAGATGGGTGGTCATGTGACTGGGTGGGTGTGGCCAACTCAATGTCACTTCTTTGCCCTAATTACCTACAAAAAGATATATACCAAAAAGTTGTTTATTATTTCCTACATTTCATACTTAAATAAAAGACTGGGTAAAACTAGGCTTAATAGCAGTGATTATGAGAGGGCTCTTGGAGTCTTAGTGGAGTTTCTGGTGAGTTACGTGATTCTTATTATTTGGGGATTAATCCCCTCAGAGGCTATTGGCTATGTTACCTGATTTTCTCAATGGCTCTCCCTTGGCATGTGATGAGTGGATTGTTTATCTAGCTTGCAACACTTTTACGAGGTGTGAAATGCTCTTGGCTGAATGCCCAGAAGTTCAATTAAGCCTATTAAGAGTTTTCCCTTGCTGCTTTTTCTTTCTGAGGTTAATGGGGGCTCTCTGAGCCCCACAGAGTCTTAGCTAGGGGCTCTCTTGAACCCCTGCAAGCCCCCAGCAGCCCACCCCTGCCTGAAATAACAGAATAACAGAGCTGGAAGGGGCACTTGGTGGGAAGGTAACAGCATTCTGTGCGCCTTAGTCATGCCAGCAACATGACCACGGAGACTGGCTCTTCGGCTTTGTAATGAAGATGAGCACTGCTCCCTAGAGCCGGAAACGACTAGCATGTATGTGCAAGGGGAATCTTTACCTTTACCCAGTCCAACCCCCCGCTCAAGCAGTAGACCCTATTCTACTCTGGACCAATGGTTGTCCATTCTCTTCTTAAAAACTTCAAGGAATACCCGCAACCTCTGAAGCAAGTCATTGTCCTGATTTATTTTTCTCACTGTTAGGACATTTCTCCTTCTTTCTAGGTGGGATCTCTCCTTGATAAATTTCCATCCACTACTTCTTGCCCTGCCCTTATTTGCTTTGGAGAAGAGATTGACTCCCTCTTCTCTATGACAGTCTCTCAAATATTGGTGGGCGTGGCTTGGTGAGCATGGCAGGGGGAGGATACTGTAAAATCTCCATTCCCTCCCCACTCCTGGGGGAAGGTTACTGCAAAATCCCATTCCCTCCCCACCCCATAAACCTGCTTTCCAGCTCCGTTCTCCTGGGCAGGGCAACAAAAGAAGACCCAGCTGATCATCTGGGACTCGGGAGGCAGACAATAGATGGGGGTGGGGCCAGTCAGAGGTGGTATTTGCTGGTTCTTCAAACTACTCAAAATTTCCAGTACTGGAAATCTGGATCTTCTCCAGACCTGGTCAGAACCTGCTGAATACCACCTCTGATCCAGTTTCTGCAAATGTTTATTGTCAGGGTTCCAAGTCCAAAGCAGAGATCACACCTCCATATCCCGGTCCATCAAGAATCTCTTTTATTAGTGACTTCCGGTTTGTCGGCTTCGCGAGCGGCAGGGATTTGCGAAGCTGCGCGATCCCTGCCGCGCTAGCTGTTTTTGGGGCTCCGACCCAGCCGGGTACGGAGCTAGGCTGCCCTGCAGGGGCAGCTGAAGGTAGGGGGATCCGGAGAAGGGTTTGGGGGTGCTGCAGACTCCCTCCCTGGCCGGCAGAACTCCCTTTTCCCAGGACGGTGCAGCGGCGGTCTGTAATGGCCGCCACAAAGAAGCTGGCAGCCGGGTAAGAATGCGCAGGAGGAAGTGGAGAAAGTGATTGAGAGGAGAAAGTTTTTCTTGGCTCCTAGGACTCTAAGACATATCTAATAAAATTCCTGAAAAGTATGACTTTCTGAATAATACCTGCCAGAAGAGGAAAAAAGCGGCTGTGAAGGTGCTGAAAGGATAGCTTTCCCTCTTTTCCTACGGAATAAATAACTGGATATTAAGAAACCTATTTCTTTTAGGTGAAAATTGGTTTTAAGCGATGAGTGGGAAGAGAGAGGATTAAAAAGAAAACATTTGTATGCTAAGATTTGTTGGAGCAGATGCCTTAAGGATTTGAAGACTAGAATATATTGCAATAAGATTTTAAACAGATTTGGACTTTCTTTCTCTTGGATTGATATTGCCCCAGAAGGAGAAAGTGAGAATTCTGCCTTGGTTTGGACTGACTGATAACTTTGGGACTGTTTTTTTTTTATTTTATTTTCTTTTGAATATTCTGGTTGTTGTAAGAAGAAAGAAGGGGAAAAGAAAAGAAAAGATTTATAATGGCTCTTTCTGTTGAGGAACTAAGAAAAGAATATGAACAAGCAAAAAAAAATGGTAAAGATGGTGTGGAAGAAGCTTTCCTTTTCTTAGAAATGGCGCTTATTAATTATCAACAAACATTACAACAGATGAAGACAGCAGAGGAACAAGAAAGAAAGAAAGGAGCCATCTTTAATGAATCTCAGAACTTGATCCAGAAAGAAGGAAGAGAGAAAGAAAAGAAAAGAAGAGAAAAGAAGAAAATTAAAGGACTTAAGGACTTAAGATCTAAAAAAACATTTAAGAAAGGGAAAAATAAGGTGCAAAACCAATATGATGATAGTAAACAAAAGGGAAAAGGAATACGACAGAGAAGGGAAGCTGGCAAGGCAGAGGCTAGAAGAAGGGGGGGTAGAAAGGTTTGTTGGGAGAAGAAAGAAAGGGAAAAGGTGGAGAAAAGCTACAATGTCTTGAAATTAAATGAAAAAAAGAAACTTTTTTTGGATAATGGATAAAGTATAATTTAAAAAAAAAAAAAAGATTTTGCAAGGTACATAAGATGAGATGGTAGTATTGTAATGATTTAAGAGTTGATAAGAGATTAAAATGTTAAAATGTTTAAAAATGATTGGCTTTAAAACTTAATAATAGGGGAGGTTTAGAATATTGTTTTAATTAAAGAGTTTAATAAGACTATGGTATTGATGTTATTATAAAATTTTTATTATAGTATCTTTTTTTTAATATTTGGATTTATTGTCTAATTATGTACTTAATTATGTTGGATGTATTAGTTAGATAGAATGTACCAAGCAAAATCGGATTGGGTATTAGATATTATTTTAAAGATTAATTTGATTAACTTAGGGGGGAGATAGAAAGGCATCATACTCTGATTAATGATTTCAGGAGAAACTTATTTTCTTTTTTTTTTTAATAAGGAATGAGACAAAGGGATG